TACCACGTCATTTATGAAATTGTTACACAAATTCTACGAACTTTTGCGAATAATCTTATGCAAAAAATAATGCTCACACATTAATATATATATTTTATATTGGCCATTACGGCCAAACTAAAATGTTTATTTCAATTATTAAAAAAATATATACATATCAATTTTAGGTTAACAAAAATACTAGTAGGTGCCATAGCATTTGTAACGTATGCTTGTTGTTGCTTGTTGTATAAAAACGCAATATAATTTACGTTATAATAATGCACACATTTCACATTGTACTTAAAAATATTTTTATTGCGTTCGGCAACATAAGAGGAAGATAAAACATTTATTATTACCTACTCATAACGTATACTCACACGTGGTTTATAATTAAAATATTATCGTTGCCGACTGTTATTTTTATTAATAATGAAATATGTATCATAAACTGTTATCTAAGATTGCATTCAGATAAATTATTTAACATAACACTCATGTTTACATACATAAATATAGCTGTTTTGCAAAGATAAAATCATTGTACTGTTTATTTTACTTTTCTCTATGTACTTAATCACTTCAGCTTGCTGGGCTTCAGTTGAAAATCAGCGCTATAGTTCCTTCATGGTACAACGCACAGGGCCTTTTAAGAAAAACCTAAATAATAGATACTATTTGTCTGTAATATATTTATGTCTGTTGTACTTGGCTTCAATTTATTATTATTTTATTTTATGTATGTAACTGTGTAAATTTACTTTCTTTTTTTCTAATTTAAATTCACAATGAACACATTTCTAAAATGATAAAGTTACTTTAGAATGAAAATCAATTTATACTCGTATTAATTTTGTTATTTCGAAGCCGCTAGTTGTACGTTGGTACGTCGTGGAATCTATTCCGAGTCCGTTTGGTTACTCTATCCAACCGACATGCTTATTTCTTCTTAAATAGGTATTGATTCACAAATTTGTCATCAAGCATTGTAAATCACCTAAATTTCACCCTCATCAAACGTATATCCTCCTTTTTTTCCGTGCGGAAATCCCCTCGGTGGCATGTCGGACTTGAACCGACTAAAACCGCACGCCGTCTCGGGTACTAATAGCCTGGGAACCAGGTATACCCTAGAAAGGAAGTCCCTGGTGCAAACGTATATCCTCCTGTGCATTTTCTGTGTTCTCACAGCTTTCTCACTCTCATACCTCCACTTGCAATGACAGCTAATTAAATAATATTTTTAGTTCTAAAAATACTCATTGGAACGAGCTCTATTGTTTGAGCTTTTAGCTGCTTAAATTGGTTGAGTTGGAGGAAGGCTAGATTAACAGCTTGGATCCTCTCTCGTATATTTAATTAACTTATTATATGTTATAGAATGCAAAGGTTTTATACTATCTATCCACAATATTAAAAGATTTTAAATTTGTGAACCATATAAACTCGAAGATGTGTAACAGAAAGGAAAAAAGTTTATGAAATCATTTCCTTGGTGTAGTGCATATTTTTAATCAAGAAATGATGGAATTATCCTGTTTTTGACAGATTTTTGACAGTTGTGATATTCCATCATTTTTAGGATTAATTACCCAATGTTTTGTTTTTATTTTAGTCATCCTTTTCTCCCACGAAACATTATCTTTATAAGTAAATTTTCTTCTTGAAATGAGGTTTTGGTATGAGAACACCTTTTTTGACATTTTTTTTCTATACGATTCATTTGTTTTCTATACGATCATACTACAATGTAACATTCTACAAACCTAGAGAGAGAGAGCGAAGAAATTAATATGTAATAAAATCATTCAAACACATGTTAACTTTAGTAATTCAATCCTCTTTAATGTTGTTACATTTGATGCCCAGTTAACATTGTTCCCGTCCAGTAATCGCAGTGAGTCAATACACTCCAGTGCCTGTCTGGCAACAAAACAAAAAAGTTCGAAAGATTTTTTTTCAATTAATATTGTTATTTTACTGATTTTTTAAATCTTCCTTTATGAAACTCTAAGGTTAAATCACACAGATATTCTCAGCAAGAAACTGAGAGTTTGCTTTTCAGTCAACTTCATTGTTTAATATACGGAACTACAACATTATTTCCAAAAAATAACAATGAGCATTCATTCTTATATTTTGGGAATAAAGTTTAATCCAGTAGGTACTCGATTGACCGTCTACACTCTTCTGATAGCAGTCACTGGACTGCATTGCCTATTTTAATGGGTACCCCCGGGCCATTAAAGTGGCATTTGAGTGGTGCAAATAACATCTGGATTAAATACTACTGGAATTACATATACTCGTGTATGTAGCAAGAAAAGTACTTTCAATAAGCAATTAAATATTAACCTTGACTAATAACTTACCAGGTAGTCAGTACTAGTAGTCTAACTAGCTGATTATTTTCTTCCTTATAGTAACTGAGGGATTCCTATTATACAGAATTTAAAATTAATTGATTAGATTAGAGTAAATTGTTTTAATTTATTGGAGTGAAAGAAAGATAGGTCTATTTTTAAAATAAGCTGGCATTATCTCGTACTGTAATTTTAAAATTATCATGTGTTGTGTCACTGTTTATCGCTATTATTACCTGCAAAGCATGCATGTTGTGCTTATCATACATCAATCACGACTTATGGAACTGATGACATAACCTAAAAAATATTATAGGCCATTTTACATTTAAGTGGGTATTTCGAAGAGGGTTATGATAGATAAAACAAAGCCGCCTGTTTATGTATTGTAGTGTTAGTGTTGTACTTAACTTGATTACAAAATTTTGTCGATTTGAACAATATGCTGAAAGGTATCTTTGTTATTTACTTTTAAACTAAGGCATGGATGCAAGTAACGGAAAAATTCATTAGTTACACTTATCTCGAATAGAATATTCTAAAAAGAGTAATCGGTTGAGTAAATTATTCTTTTAAAGATGACTGACATGACTCTTCCAGTCTACGAACTATAAATAGTAGAGACGGGACATGATTAATTGTAATGGAGTAATGAAGGTAAAGAAAATAAAACTTCCTTTACAATGAACATATAAACAAACAGTTATCGATAAATAAAAATCGGTTATCTCGTTTATACTTATCTATGTATACCAAATATTATTGGACACAAATAATTATTAAATGCCGGAATATTGTGATCGATTTCTTTCAAGCAGGGTCGATTGTAGATTAGATCTGACCTGGTGTACTTTTATCACTCCTATCATTTTGAACGACAATTAACTGTTGAAAATTAATTGAATGATAATCTTAAGATACTTTTATTTGGCAACAAATGTTAATTATTGAGTTCGATCGTCATAAAATCAGTTACTTCAGCAGACGCTTTCTGTACCTACCACCTTATTATGTGAAGATAGTCTGCACTGCAACATCTAGAGCAGGGATTCCCAAAGTGATCGATATCGACCCCTTTTTGGGGTGAAAATCGGTTTCCTAGGGGTCGACATAAACGAAAACTGATTTTGGGGGTCGGCGAGGACCAAAAATCGAGCTATATTAATTAACATTAATTCTATTTTGAAACTTTCAAGATACTGAATTAGTTGTATTACGTGTACCAACTTGATATAAGAATTACAAATATATTAGTAATAAGTATCAGTGTTGTACTTTTTTTAAACTCAACAAGTCGATAGGCGGGCAGTAATTTGGCTATGGAGATCTGAGGTATCAGTTCATTTTAGAAAAGGAATTTCTTGCCCGCAATAGTTTGGGAATCCCTGATCTAGACTAACTACCGCTACCCATAGACTCTTGCAACTGGAGAGCCACAAGTGTGTTGCCGTACTTTGCACGTACTTTCCACCTCTAAATCAGGGGGATGAGTGGTTTGGGATTCCATAACCCACTTGGAGAAAAGCAACAAAAAAGTTGCGATTCTGCGAGGCCGTGGTTTTACTACGGTCGAGCCGACCCATTTGAGCCAAAGCATGGCTCTCCCACGTGAAGAAAATTTTATTCAATACTTTCAATAATTATTATCATAACTAATTACTTATTTAAAAAAAAAAAGAAGAAAGGAAACTGTAAATTATCATACTTTAAATTATCATTACATGGTTGTTAGTGTAATGTAATGTATAAACTTATGTTATATTACAGTTTGTTTACATGATATTTGGATATTTCTGTGGGTACTCAGTTGTACATTTTTATTTTCTTAACTTTCTCTGTACACACGACTCTATCTTGTTGTGCTATCCTCTTTTCACTCTTAGGTTTGCTGGAAGAGAACTCAATTATAGCTTAAGTTTATAGCCTTTGTGCCCACTATTCTTTAATGCATTTTTTATAAATGTTTATATTGTGTACGTAAAAATTAATAAATTGAAGTATATGCACACAATATGCACACAAAATAGGACATCTATTTCATTGCATACTACACACGTAATTAAAGAGTTTCGTATTTAAATTGTTCATTGCATATGCACGTGTCGCGTGCATAATGATTGCATAATACAAGTACACAATGACGTACCGGCACCGCCCTAACATCAGAACAGGACATGTTTTTGTTATTTTTTAAATGTTCTAAACTGTGAGTAATGAAATGGCTCACATAATGAACATTGAAAGCATTAAATTTATTGCATAGGTATGTCCCTTTTAATAAGAGAGATAATAGGTTTGGGTAGAACACAAACACAAACACTGATAGCAATATTTAATTTTCTATATTCAGCTTGTTTCCATTTATTTAGAAGTAGACTACATTTGTACTCGGTACACAAAGTCTTATGCAAACCTAACTGAAAGAAAATAATTTTATCACATACTCTTTATCGGATGTGAATTAATGTGAAATTCTATTCGCATATAGTTATGTTGCACAACAATTTCGTTACTACTAAGGTGCAAGTTAAAATTTTAATTTTACGGTTTATCTTTTTTTTTTAGAAGTTTATTTGAAAACATATGCAAATTTGATAAAATAATTTCAACATTATTACAGCGACATCTATCTGCTACGCCAAGACATAAACTTACTTGAGCTTTTCCTTGAAGACCTCTACGACACGTAGCAATCGGTGCGTAGCACTGCAGTCTCACAAAGTCCAAAGAGAACTTTTTGATTACTTTTGATTTCAGTAGCAATCACACACAGTCTATATGTGCCGTACACCGGGATCACAGCACAGGCATTCCACTGGACAGCCAAAACTAAATTGTGACCATTTCTACATCATAATTCAGTTAAATCACGTTAAGGGGGGGACAACAATAGGAGAGCATCGATGTGAGCGAATCACACCATCGCTACGCATCGCTAATTTTCCATAGTGATCCATGTTTACTAATGCCAGTGAGCGAACCAAAATTATAATACTTTGTGGACATGCGTGAGCTATTGTTAAACAAATCCAATGCGACCGACCTGTGTGGTCATTAAAACTTGTGGTTAAGTACAGATATTTAAAAAATAAATAAAAAAGGCAAGTTATAGAATAGATGTTAGATAGGAATGTAAATAACTAACATTTTTTTTAACTATGCTACTTACTTTATGCTTTTCATACCACCCCAAATACAAGTTTGGGTAACTCAAAGATACCGCACCTCATCTTAATTTATTACTAAGTAAGTATTTATTACTTCTAATTACATTGAGTCTCATTCATTCTAACAAGCATACATTCAGTGACCCCAAAGAGTTCGCTTTTCCGGAAACAACGTACAATGGCTTACAATTCAATATGGCCACTCCATCCACGCCATCCGCCATTACGCGCTTGTGATCAGCACATGTGATTCAAATCTACTAAAAAAAAATTAACTTGTCTCTCTGTGATCAATATAATGAAATTCAAAAATTAGTTCGCAAAAGGCCTCTGCTTGTAAAATAGATAGTTGATGACTGCATATTATAAGTTAATGTCCGCCGTAAAGAATACGGAGTGTCACCACCCCTATTCATCCCGTGGGTGTCGTAGGAGCCGACTAAGGGAGCAAACTACGCAGGACAACAGCACTGCAGAGAGAAGGATAACTTGACACAAACCCTTTTTTTTTTTTTTTTTTTTTAACCACGATTGGGGCGCCAGGGGGTGGAACACGACGGGGCCCATGAAATAACAGGGCCTCCGTCTTATCTAGGGCCACCCGTAAGCCTAGCGGCTCAATGTGCCCGACCACCAGGGAGACTCCCCTTGTGGCCAGGCGCGCCGCCTCTTGGAAGTTTGCCCCCCGGGCTGTCACCAGGGTATCGTCTGCGTAACAGATTACACCCAGCCCGGGGGGGAAATCGGCGCGAGGGGCCCAGTCGTACCCTATGTTCCACAAGAGGGGTCCAAGAACAGACCCCTGTGGAACACTGCACGACATGGGCCGACACCTCAAATTACCATCTCGGTCCTCGTACACGACGATACGCTCCTCTAAATAGTCTGCCACTAGCCGCCTCAGGTACTTTGGCACCCCATGATAGTGGAGTGCTACCCTGATGTAGCTGAATGGCAGACTATTGAATGCGTTGGCGATGTCTAATGACACCGCCAACAGCACAGCACGATGGGCCTGTAGGCCGCGACCGAATCGGCAGGCCGTCCCGGCTTCTTTAATAGGACCAGCTTCCCGCTCTTCCAGCACTCAGGGAAACGTCCCGACGCCAAGCTAGCGTCGAACACCTCCCTGAGGCGGTCTGCCATGTGGTTGAGGGCAAGGGCCAGCACTCGGGCCGGTACCCCGTCTGGCCCAGGGGCGGTGTTCTTGGAACGGATCCGTAGAACAGCCGCCCCTACCTCCGAATCCCGGACGGGCGGAACATCATCCTCAACTTGACACAAACCCTATACCAACCCGTCTGGCCAGCGTATAGTATGCCAAAACCTAGTTTCTAAGGATAGGCCTATGTCCAGCAGTGGACTATCTAAGGCTGTTGATGATGATGATGATGTCCAGTACTGTCTTATCACGAGGTTACGCGGGCACGGACCCCTATCTCAGAGGAGGCTTAAAGTGTGGTATAAAATCATGAAAAGCTTCTGTGGTGCATCATACGCATCTGAGTTGAAGGCAAAGCTCGATACGACTGACTCATTCGAAACATCTCATTCGAAAACATAACCGATAAAAAAACGAAATCTAGCTAGTCGCAACATAGTTCCTTCGCAAAAAGTTACGAGAGCCAGTGGTTATGTAAATGTAAATAATTATGAGCTCAACGCAGAATGTTCTCATTTAAGCAGTAATTAAGATGACTGTAAAAGATCTTGGTGATTTAAGCTAATCTTTTCATGATATAAGGGGGGCAAACGTTCAGACGGATGACGGGGTAAAAAGTGTCTAAAGCGCTGCCCATGGACGCCTATATGTCAGGTGTCACAAGCGCGTTGCCGGCCTTTTTGGTTGGAAGTACGATCTTTTTCTTAAAGTTTTAGGGGCCGTTGCCGTGTCATCGGTCCGGTAATAATGCAGGTGACAATTTGTTTCACAGACTGATTTTGCGAGGCAAAAAGTCTCTGGAAAAGCGAACCGTGGTGGAGTATCCACTTTCCACGTGATGGGGATGGATATTTCGCCAGGTAAAACGATGGCGGAAAGGTGTAGCCAGTGGCGGATTATATCTAAGGCAAATTAGGCACGTAACTAGGGGCGCGAGGTTTGAAAGAGGCGACGTATTTTTAACAAAGAAAAAATATATGCCTAACATATTGAGAAATGAGTCCGTAAGTATGCACATACACTATATAACCAATTTTTTCATTCTATAAAGATGTTTAAGGTTGACATCTGGGCTTTATATTACGAAATTGCCATGCCACTACTTCTTTACTTTCCTCTTCTGATTCCTTGGAAGATTGAGGCTAGTGCGTGTACATAAAAATATAATTGCTACAACTGCATCTGTAGTTGATTACTCTATGAGTTGTATTAAAAGACCTGAGTTCTCTGGCCATGCCACTTTACGGTGTACCGGTGTGGGCGAAAGCCCTGACCGCCCTCTAGCACCCTCAGAGGGTAGTTGGGGAATTCTCCCATTCGACCCTCGTTGGTCGTTCAGGCTGGAGACTTCACGTACAGGCTTTGGTGTCGTAGAGGCGCTTCAGCCGGTCATAGTCAAGTGGTCTATTAGTCATTAGTTAGTATATTTCAAGTGCAGTTTATGACGTTTGATTTTAGTCGGTTCGAATCCGATACACTTCCCCACTGCAAACCCCGGTGGGGGTGACAGCCCATGGTTTCTACACGTAAAAATATATAATAAAAAAGTTCTAGTACAGAATTGACAACTTTTGGAGCTATCATTACCACACACACACACATTACATTAGTGTCAACTATTACCTATTAATAAATATAGTGTTGGTGATAGAGAGATGGGAGAGGCGCCGATGAGATATTTGCCTAGGGCGCTCTAGAAACTTAATCCGCCTCTGGGTGTAGCCAGTATTAGTCCGACCAATTCCGACCGAACGTGACGATATAAGCAAATGTAATAACAGTGTGTTAATTAAATATGAGTATAATAAATCCTTTTTTAGGGTTCCGTACCTCAAAAGGTAAAAAGGAACCCTTATTAAGATCACTTTCTTGTCCGTCTGTCACTTTACTTGTGCTGTAAGACCTTGTTTTTAACCAAAATTGACAATTCTAGGTCAACCCGAAGTACCCTATAGGTTTTGGGTCGAAAACCTATATGGTAGTTCCATTTGATCTAGAATCACGAAATTTGGCAAAAAGAAACGTCTTACAGCACAAATAAAGGCATAATTAAAAAAAAAAAAGTTGAAAATTAAGATACATTTTGGTAAAAAAATCTACGTAAAATCTGGGTACGTACGGAACCCTCGGCGCACGAGTTCGACTCGTACCTGTCGGTTTTTTTTAAGTTGAACCGACTTCAAACAATACTAACAAAAAGCATTAATAATTAAAACTATAAGTGAAAAAAATAAATAAATTCGACCATCTATATAAAAGGTAAAATTATAATAGCAATAGATAAATTCTACTCTGTTTGAAGTCGGTTTCAAGCCCGATGCACAATAAGTAACACAGCCACATATTTTGACTACGGTGTAGAGTTTGTGAAGTTAGGGCTTGTAGAGTTAGGGCGTGTAGAGTTCCTTCTGCGAGCAAGTTATCCTCGCGAAGGAGACGGCGGAGCGGGACCGGGAGAGGTTTAGAACTCTCCCGGCCCGCCAGGCCCGGGCACGGGCCAGGCAGCGCAGGCGACTCAGGCGCCGGAGGTCGCAGAACGACCTCCGTCCTCCATAAGCGCAGGCCTGGGGGTGACAGGTGAGGCCATCTGTCACCCTAGCAGAAGCAGGCCGGGGTGGCGGCGAGCGCGTTGCGAAGCGCGCTCGCTTCCAGGGGGGTCACATGGGAACATGGGGTTCCCACACGGGGCGGGGGTCGTCTACTCGTCTGTAGATGACCCGAGGTATGTCGGGGCACCAGGGCCTTCCTTTCTAGGGTATACCTGGTTCCCCGGCTATTAGTACCCGGTGAAGGCGTGCGGTTTTAGTCGGTTCGAGTCCGACATGCCACCGACACCGACGGTGGTATCCGAGGGGATTTCCGCACGGGAAAAAAAAAAAGGGCGTGTAGAGTTAGAAGTTTGGCTGTGTACGATATCTGATAACATTTTGACAGTGCGAGCCATAACTATGGACTCGTCATGTCAACAGATTGCATGAAAATGTTTTTGGTTTAAAAAGTAAAATATTTAATATTATTTTAACGGGAATTAACGCGATCTCTTATTTAGGGTATTACATACCTCTGGTTTGCCTCAAACGTCAGGCAAACCAATCGCGTTAATCCCCGTTAAAATAATATTAATTATCATGGAACGCGAAAGTTTAAAAGTTAGTATAGTAAAATATTTTATTCTTGTTACGTGCTCCACGAAAAATTTGTTAGCATAAATTCCGTACCAATTATTGTAACTAATTTTTCGTCATTTGATTGCAGCCATTGACAATAGTAAATAAATTAAACATAAAATCATAACAAACTATTTTCTCCTCTTTTACTGTTCTGGTGATTTTCAAGAAATACTTTTAGACTCATATGGCATAATACTTTTAAATATCTCTTTCATCTTACCCTTTTTTTAATAGACAATGGTAACCATACCTTACTACAAGCAAGATATGGTCACCAACTGTAAGCTACTTTGCACTTTTGTAGAGTAGAATCACCAGCAAAACATAAGTAAAACCAGAGCACGAGTATATCTGGATTTAAAATAATTACTGTAGGTATTGTTTCTGTCATGACCTTGGATGCGGTTACACACGGTCATCACTAATCATCGCTGATATAAATGCTGATTGTCGTTCAGTATGTCGGTTCACAGGATTCGCTAAATGGCACACGATAATGGAGGCGGATCTGTAACCGTGTACACATTATCAACAATGTTAATCCTGGGAATGCCTTATCTTGGTTCATCAGGGACAAACAATTCATTACATGAAAATTACCGAGATTTAAAATAAATCCCCAAAAATTACGTAATAGGATGTGCATTATAGTCTAAAGTGTTATGTTAATGTTTGTAAAATGCAAGTTATACTAAAATTTTAAAAGAATATTTCTAACATTTACTTGGAAC